CCATTTTTTAAAGTTTCTGATATTTGATGGGGAATCCAATTGTTGCTTAGAATTTTGTGGTGGTTGTTGCTGCTGCTTTATAAATGTAAGTTCTGTTGAGCTTCAGACAGATGACACATCCCCAGGCTCTGGCTGCATTATGCATCAGACACAATGCAATTTGGTTTTTAATTTCTTCTCACAGCATATCCATTTCAGTCCTAAGAGACAACCAGAGGTGCAGGAATCTTTCATTTCAAACTTCCTTTTTGTTTTGTTTTGTTTTGTTTGATACAGAATTTTTAAAACGTATTTAAGGAAAATAACCGGGTTCTTTTTAAATAGTATAACAACAGAATTATGCTTACTAGAATTCTCACCTCTCATCTCAGCCAAGACATGATTACTACAGATGGCACAGTCAAACCTCTTAACTTTGCATGAATACAGAAAAGACATCTCTTTTCCTGAGCTCTGCATATGTGGAATGATAGCATGGGATCTTGAGACTGGTAGCAACCACTTGGGTCTTCAGTTCATCTTCCTGTCACTGTATGATTGTTCCTTATTATTCATTTTTCAGTGTCTTATCTGGTCTAGCTTCAAACGTGCCAGACACTGAACTACTGCCACTTGCCCAGGGAGACCATATCATAACACAATACATCTCTTTGTCAGAAGTTTGGCTGACACTTGAGACAAGTTTTCCTTTGTTTCACTGCATTACTCTCCCTTATACTTTCTACCTATAAATAATTCTTCCACCACTAAAACTCCTATTTTGTAGGTACTTCTAGACCTTCTTCACTGTTTGCCATCACCTAATCATTCTTTACTCAAACACACAGTGCAAAATCTTAATCTACATTTATTTAGGCTTGTAACTACTTTGTTGCTCTTCCCTGGGCTCTTTATCAGGAATAAGCTAACAAACATAAAGATGTCTGAAATTAGAGGTGCTCTCGACAGTGCCTGGTTGGTGGAGTGCAGTAGAACTTAAAAAGCAATAAAAATTCAGATTAAGGGAGTTCTAAGGAGTTTATTTTTAATATAAAAGGACAATGGGCTTCTTAATAGAAGACTCTGATTCAGAATTTCTTGGAAATGTATTAGTTTAGACAAGCCCTTAAGTAAGAAAGATTTCCCATGTTCAGTACAGAGTCTGTGGTCAAATCAGAAAGATTTAACCACCCCAAAGTAGCCAAAAACCAGTTTTCCACATTTAAAAACTGCTTCAGATCATAACTCCACTCAAATAAGATATGACATTTACACTACCCCACCAAAAATACATCTCTGTCTTTTAATGGCATTTTTTATTTACTTGATATAAATATTCCTTAATCTGGCAGAGGGATATAACCTAGTCCTACATACTGTTCAGCTAAGGGGATATTTGAATTCATTTCTCTGTTCTGAATCAAGTGGACCTACAGCCTGGACCCAAACATCAAATGAGTATCTTCACTAACCAGACTCAGCTAACCTAGGGCAAGACTCGGTAGAAAACAGAGATGCAAACTAACATCATTGAGACTGGGAGAGAGCTCCTGTCGCTGAGGGCTGGCTGTGTCTGGAGTTCTGTGACTAATGGCATGGGGAGACACTGCTGCCAGAGCAGAAGTTAATAGATGATTGCTCTAAAGAGCCCATAGCATTGTTGTCTCCCCAAAAGCTGTTGGAATTAATGTAAGATTTCAAGACATTTTTGACAACATCAGCAAATTCTTTCTGAGGGCCTTTTATTGTTAGATTAAACTACCACAAGTCATGAGTATTTCCTTAAGAGGAAGCCTGCAATTAGCAAAAATAACTTAAATACCTTGCTTACTGTTCATTTTTAGCCAACCAAGGTGCAGAAATGATAACATATGCCTTCAGAAACTAATTGCCAAAAACAACAAATAAACTGAATGCTTAAGAATACTCTATAAGTCGTTAGCAAATACTCTAAAATAAACCTTGAAAAGCCAGAAATAGATTGATGAGTTCCCTCCTCCCCCCAAAAATTGCTGAAACCTCTGCTAATAATTCAGCTGTCTACTTTGAATCCTATCGCTTGCAAAATTAGTGCACTTTCTAAAAAAGAGTATTTTTTCTTTGCTTTATTTTCCTTTCACCTCTCTGACTTCAATTCAGCTGTGATAGCCCACGCCATCATAGATACTTTAGCTACATTAGCTCACTCATGTAATGTCACATCCTGTTAGTACCAGGCAGTGGAAAATGACCCCAGCATAACATGATGTAATACTACAAAGTCCTGCTGAATGTAATGCAAGCTGTCAGAGAGTTGTAGCGCTAGGCTTTAATGGGAAGAAGGAAGATCTACTTGTGAATGTATTTAGTGAGGAGCATGCCTTAAATATTTCATAAGTTCAATAGTGAATATGTTCATAGTTCAATAATAATAGTTCATAGTTCAATAGTGAATAGGTTCATAGTTCAACAGTTCAACTTCAATAGCCTCGTACTTCACCTGCTGCAAGCTACGTATCAAGAAATTAAAAGAAAGCAATCTAAGGAGCATCTTCTCTCTCCACAGGGTTGCTTTTAGTCCAGTGAGGCCTCATTTGGTGTAAGGTACTACACAAGAGAAATGGACAAGTGTCATGGGTTCAGCTGTAAAAGTTATTTTTCTCCTTCTTCCTAGATAGTGCAGTCCTGTGTTTTCGGCTTAATCTGGGAACAGTGCTGGTAACAAACCAAAGTTTTTAGTTGTTGCTAAGTAATGCTTACTCTGATCCTTACTCCAATCCCAGTGAAAGACCCTGCAGCCACCCCAACCACAGTGATAGTGCAGCTGCACCAAAGGACCAATATCAGTTGCAAGGGGAAAACCAAAAAAAAAAAGCCACACAGAGCAACCTGTGCAATGAAGAAAAAAAAAGACCCAATGCACACACTACAAGGGACAGTATCTGAACAAGAGTTATTGCTACAGAAATCAGACAAAGAGGAAGAAGTAACTTCTTGATCCCGGACATCAACCAAGCTGTGGAATACACAAAAAGATTTCAGCCGTCTTCCAGGGGAGCACATTGTCACCTGGTTGATCTGATGCTGAGACAATGCGGCTGATGGTCACGAACTAGAAGGTACAGAAGCCAAGCAGCTTGAACAGAAAATAGGTGCCGTCACGATTATCAGCAGAGAATAAAGTCATGGAGAAGCCAGCAGCAGAACTGTCCTCAGGTCAGCATCAACTGACCCTGACTTCCCTTTGATCACCACCCCAACAAAGAATGACCTTTGGTGAAACTGGAAGAGCTCAGCAGCGACCAGATGATTTCACCAGTGTCATCAGCAGACCACCTCTCCTGCCCTGAGAGACTTACAAGAGATTGAGCCTAATATTGTGGACTGAATGAATTCAGAAAATTTTATAAGGATAGTCCATGAACTAAGAAATGATATCTCTTTGTGTGTGTGTGCATATATATATACCTATATATGAGAGACAAAAGCAACAATATATTGAAAAATGCGCAATCTCACCGTAATGTGAATGGTATAGAATAAGGAGTGGGCATTGTGCTGTGTTCATCTGTAACAAGCACAAGCTGGTGGATTTTGTCGTCCGCTTCATGGAGGAGATCCACAAGAAAATCAGCAAGATGAAGCTGTCAACACCAGGGCCTGCATTCTGGGGGAGGAATTCCTTGAGAACCTGAGGCTCTGGAATGGGAGAAGGCAGATCCCTCATGTTGGGATTTTGGGAGCGGGGTACGGGCCTCAAGCCAGCGTGCCCTTTGTGCCCAGAGCCGTCAGTCCCACCTGTGGGAACAGCGGTGCCATTGTGCCCAAGACCCTCTCAGGGACAGGGCAGGAGGATGCCCCAGGTTGCTTGCACCCCCTGTGCTGGGGAAGGGCTGGGTTTGAGATGCCAAGAGCACGGTGAGGGGCCTGGCAACAGCCACTGGGGACGCAGCCCCATGGCCCCGGGGCACACAGGGGCTCACAGCTGCCTCTCTTCTCTTGGCTTACAGTGCCCGGGGCCCATAGAGCGCCCGAGGCCCATGGGCGGGGCACGGCACAGCCGGGTTCCATGGGCGGGGCACGGAAGGCGCCGGTCCGTTGGACGCCCCGCCTGGCTACTCACGGCCCGCCGTAGCAACGGCAAACAGAGAGGGCGGTCCCGACGGTGGGGGCAGGACGTGTGGTGGGAGGAGCGGGAGGGGTGGCCTAAAAAAAGGGGATAAATGGGGGTGAACGGGGCTGGGGGGCACCAAAAAGGTTGGGGGGACCCTCGGGATGCGGGGCACGAAAGGGTTTGATGTTTGGGGTGAGTGTCGACGTGAACGAGTTCGAGGAACGGGGCTGGGAGGTTGGGGGGTGACACACACGACACAGGAGGGCTGGTGTTTGTCCACCTTCAGGTCAGTGAAGCCAGTGCAGAGGCCAGGGCTGGTGCAGGAGCTGGGGAGTTCCATGTGCTGGGCCCCACCTCGGTCCCCACAGGGAGGGGGGAAGCGCTTGGTCCTGGGGGATGAAAAGTCACACCAGCTCCCCTCGCCCTCAGGCTTCGTCTGGAAGGAGTCAATCTCTCTTTGGCACACAGACTCCCCCAGCCTGGCTGGGGGGAGGCGACTGCCAGACTAGGAGACGTGTTACTGACGATTTCCACGACAGTTGAAGTGAGGCCTCCGGGCCCTGTGAAGCACCTCTCGGGGTGCACAGTAGCCGGAATTCCGGCACGAATTTCTTTGACTTCGTGTCAGCTGCACAGAGTAGCCCCGGCTCAAGCATGCAGCAGCAGAGAGGTGGGTGCCTTCACCCCTTGTCCTGCTGTCCCTGCCATGGGACTGGGGACACGGGGCCAGCAGCTCAGCCTGGCTTGTCCTTAACAGCTCCTGCCAGCACCAAGCAGCAGCCCGCTGTCAACAAGGAGCTGCTGAAGAGGGCCAGACAGCATGTGAAGGAGGCCATCAAGGTGGGACCCGATTACACGCACACACCCCACAACATGCCATGAACATGCGCCTGTTGCATTTATGGCTGAGTGCTTGTGTCCTTCCCCAGGAGAAAAAGATCTTCTCAGTGCAGGGCCCCTACCCTGTGATGCGCAGGCTGCTGCGGGCACGAGGCTGGGTGGAGAAGTTCTCCACCACCACCAAAGTGGGCACTCGCTCAGTGCAGCAGGACACCAAAAAGCAGCTGGAGGAGAAGGTGGAGGACAGTGGTGGTGAGGAGCAATGGGAGGCAGTGCTCCATGCAGAGCCAGGTTCGGCGTCCTGTTGGACTCAGCACTGGGTCCAGATGTTGGAGGAGGAGGAGCAGGAGGAGGTCCCGTGGTATGCTGAGGACCCTGATGGCATCCATGACATCATGGTTAGTGCAGAGGGGCAGGGCTGGACTCCGCAGGGCACAGCCTGGGCAGGGCACTGAGAGTGAAATGGGGATTCCTCAGCTCACTCTGGTCCCCTCTGTCCCTTACTCAGTCCTCCATGGTGCGAGACCAAATGCCGACATTCATCTGGACAAGCCGGCGCAGTGCTGTACGCTACTGGCAGCTCCAGGACCACCAAATGGTAAACCACTTCAAGGGCACTGGAGCCTTCACCACCAAGGTGAGAATCTGGAGACGCTGAGGATGCAGTGCTGGGGATGAACAGGGGTGGCGGCAGGTCCAGCACTGACTGCCACCCCTGTCCATCTATACAGGAGGGGCTGTGTGTCAACCTCCAAAACCTGCCCTCATTCTACCAAGCGGATCCCACCACCTTCTTCCCAAGGTGCTACCGGCTTGGGAATGAGGATGAACGTCAAGCCTTCATCGGTGAGCTGGGGCTGTTGCTCTTCTGCCCCCCTGCCATATCCCATGTCCCCCCCTGTCTTGGGCAGGACAGGGTGAGGACAACTCAAATCCTTTGCAGAGGATTTCCGCCTGACAGCAGCTCACAGCCTGCTCAAACTGGCTGTGGAGAAGCCTGGCATCATGCAAGGGGTGATGGAGTCACCTGGCAAGGGGGCAGGTGAGTGTGTGGAGATGGGCCTGGTGGGGATGGTGAGGAGCTCAGGGCCCTGGCTGTGGGCTGAGCCTCTGCTTGGGGCTGTGCCTTGGGACCCGGATGCACCCAAAGCCAAGCATCCCAAGGGTAGCCAGCAGCCATGCCCCTCAGTCCATGCCACTTCCAGCAGGTCCAGTATCCCCATCACCCCCTGAGCTGCTGGAGAAAGCACTGCAGGTCTGCAGATTGCAGCTGGACAGGCTGGAGCACACAGACATTGACAGGGACTCCCCAGTGCTCCGTGTCACCAACGCCGACTGGGACTGCTTCCTGCATGAGTACTACCGTGTGGTGAAGTGCGTGTGGGGCAGGATGGGGTGGGGGGGCTACACAGCATGGCAGTGCTGGTGCTGAACCCCTGTGTCACCACCCTGCAGCGAGCAGGCAAGGCTGGAGTCCAGCATCCATCAGCAGGAACAGTGCAGGGCACTGCTACAGAAGCTGCAGGAGCGGCTGCCCCAGCTCCACATAGAGGGCGTTCACAATCTGTGGATAATCAAGCCCGGAGCTATGTCCCGTGGTAGAGGTGAAGTCAAGGGGAAAATGGGGTTTGGGCACAGGCTTCCTGGTGAGGAGGGGTCTCACCGGCACCGTGTGTCCCCGCTCACAGGCATCACCTGCTCGGCACGGCTGGAGGAGATCCTGGAGCTGCCTGGGAAACCCGCAGCGCCCTCAGCGCAGCCAGGACAATGGATAGTACAGAAATACGTGGAGCGGCCGCTGCTCATCTTCGGCACCAAGATTGACCTGCGGCAATGGATCCTGGTGACTGACTGGAACCCGCTGACCATATGGTTCTACCGGGACAGCTACGTGCGCTTCTGCTCCCAGCCCTTCTCCCTGAGCCACCTACACGCGTGAGTGCCCCCCACCCTGGCACAGCACACCCCACACCCCAGCACCCTGTTGACCCATCTCTGCTCTTCCCACACCAGCTCCCGGCACCTCTGCAATGTGTCCATCCAGAAGCAGTGGAGGCAGGCTGGGGGCCGCAACCCCAATCTGCCCTGTGACTTGATATGGTCCAGCCACCAGTTGCAGCTTCACCTACAGCAAGTGGGGCACACGGAGGCCTGGGAGATCATAATTGTTCCAGGCATGAAGGAGGCAGTGGTGGCTGCCCTGCACAGCGGCCGGGAGCTGGTGAGAGACCGCAAGGGAAGCTTCGAGCTCTACGGGGCCGATTTCATGTTCGGGGAGGATTGCCAGCCGTGGCTGCTAGAGATCAATGTCAGTCCCACCATGGCGCCCTGCTCAGCAGTGACCCGACTGCTCTGCGCCGCCGTCCAGCGTGACATACTGCGTGTGGTCCTGGACCACAGGGAGAACCCCGGCTGCTCCACTGGAGCCTTTGAACTCATTTACAAAGAGGTGGGTTTGGAGGGGCTGTGGGATAGGCTGCTCTCTGCTCCCAAGGGACAAGCAATAGAACAAGAAAAAAAAAAAGCCTCAAGCTACAGCAGGGGAGGTTTAGACTGGGGATTAGGAACAATTACTTCCCCCAAATGGGTAGTCAAGCATTGCAAAAGGCTGCCAAGGGAAGAAGGAGGTCACAGTCCACGGAGGGGTTCAATACCTTTGTAGACGAGGCCCTTAATAGCATGAGTTAGAGGTGGCCTTGGCAGTGGTGGGGAACAGTTGGACTTGATGATCTTAAGCTGTTTTCCAACCCAGTTGTTTCAATATCTCCCTGCAGGCCATTGTGTCAGTGCCTCCCTGCCTGGGACTGAAGCTGGTGGTGGAAGGCTACTCACTAAGGAAGCCCCAGCTGCAAAAAAAACCACAGGACAAACTCCCCACCATCCTGCCTCTTGTCCGCCCAGTGGTGCCCAAGCCTCCAGTGGGCTCCAGACCACTTATGAACACCAAATTACCTGTGATGCCCAAGCCAGCCGTGGTACCCAGGCCTCCTATGGTGGCCAAACCACTTATGTACAAGTATCCCATGATCACAAAGCCCATTATAGAGCCCAAGCCTCCTGCAGGGCTCAGGCCTCCAGATATCTCCAAACCACTTATGGGCACCAAGTTACCTGCGCTGCCCAGGCCTCCAGTGGTTTCCAACCCACTTATGGACAGCAAGCCTGCTGTGGTGCCAAAGCCTCCAGTGGTGCCTAAGCCATTCATGATCACCAAGCGTCCTACATTCACCAAGCCCCTGGTCAGAGACCAAGACTCCAGTGCTGCCGAGGCCTCTAGTGGTACATAAGCCACTTACGGTCACCACACATCCTACAGTCACCAAGCCCTCAGTAGAGTCCAAGCTTCCTGGGGAGCCTAAACCACTTATGGTCATCACGTGTTCTATGGTCACCAATCCCCCTACAGACTCCAGGCCTCCTGTGATGCCCAAGTGGGGCAGAACCACTCAGCTCCCACGGGCTGGAGAAGCACAGGTCAAGGCGGCTGCTCTGACACAACTGCACTTGCGCTTCTCCAGCTCTGCCCCCCAGGCACCACCACAGCCAAAACCCCTGCTCCAGTGGGTTCAGGCCACTATGAGCAAGCCTGGGGCTACTGTCCTGACCAGGGCACCCACTCAACCAGATGCAGTCCCACCAACAGCTCTGACTGCGTGTCCTGGGCAGCAGAGCTGTGTTGCTGGCAGCAGACATGAAGTAGCGCCCAGGAGCAGGCAGAAAAGCTGCAACAATAAGGCCATGAAGACGGGAACAGCATCCTGCCCACCCTAAGTGGGACAACATGACGGTAACCACTTCCCCCTACCTGAACCAGAATCCACCATCGCACAGGGACACACATCCCACCAGCCAAGGGGGTGAAAAACAGACGTAAACCCATCTGGCTGCTGCACTGTGACAAGATACCGCTGCCCAGGTGCAGAACCTGGTGGTGAAGGTACACCATGTAAATGCTCATGTACGCAAGAGTCGGGCCAATGGGAAACACCAGAACATCCAAAAAGTGGATAAAGCTGCTAAGATTGAAGTGGCTCAAGTGGACTTACATTGGCAACATAATGGTGAATTATTTTTAGCCACGGACCCATGACACCTCAGCCCATCAAGCGAAGATGCAACATACAGATGAGCCTGTGATATCGAGGGGCTGACTTAACAATGAACACTACTGCCCAGGTCATTCATGACTGTGAAACATGGGCTGCAATTAAAAAAGCCAGGCGGTTAAAGCCTTTTTGGTATGGAGGACAATAGATGAAGTTCAAATACAGGAAGGCCTGGCAGACTGACTGTATCACACTCCCAGCAACCCACCAAGACTTAAGCCATGTGCTTACCATGGTGGAAGCAACCACCGGATGGCTGGAAACATACGCTGTGCCCCACGCCACTGCCCGGAACACTACCCTGGGCCTTGAGAAACAGATTTTGTGGCGACACGGCACCCCAGAATGAACCGAGTCAGACAACGGGACTCATTTCCAGAACAACCTTATAGACACTTGTGCCAAAGAGCATGGCATTGAGTGGGTATATCACATCCCCTGCCATGCACCAGCCTCTGGTTAAATCAAATGGTACAGTGTGCTCTTAAAAACTACACTGAGAGCAATGGGTGGTGGGACTTTCAAACATCGGGATATGCATTTATCAAAAGCCACCGGGTTGGTCAACACGAGGGGATCTGCCAACAGGGCTGGCCCAGCCCAATCAGAACTTTTATGTACTGTAGAGGGGGATAAAGTTCCTGTGGTAAACATAAAGAATTTGCTGGGGAAGAAAGTCTGGGTTATTCCTGCTTAGGTAAAGGCAAACCTACTCGTGGGATTGCTTTTGCTCAGGGACCCAGATATACTTGGCGGGTAATGCGGGAAGATGGAGAAGTCCACTGTGTATCTCAGGAGCTTTTATTTAATGCGGGGGAAAAACAGCCAATGAACTCGTATTATATGCTGTCGCCTGCTATATAACACGTTTATAGCCCATCAGCTAGATGCCCATCTCCACCAATCTGGACTTTAAAAAGAAGATAGGTGCTGTCATGATCATCAGCAGAATACAAAGTCATGGAAAAGCCAGCAGCAGCAGCAGAACTGTCCTCAGGTCACCACTGACTGACCCTGACGTCCCTCCAATCACCACCCCAACAAAGAATGACTCTGTGTCTCTGCGCTGCCGTCCAGCCTGACATACTGCGTGTGATCCTGGACCACAGGGAGAACCTCAGCTGCTCCACTGGAGCCTTTGAACTCGTCTACAAAGAGGTGGGTTTGGAGGGGCTGTGGGATAGGCTGCTCTCTGCTCTCAAGGAACAAGCAATAGAAAAGAAAAAAAGCCTCAAGCTACAGCAGGGGAGGTTTAGACGGGATTAGGAACAATTAACTTCCCCCAAAGGGGTGATCAGGCATTGGAACAAGCTGCCGAGGGAAAAAGGAAGTCAAAGTCCATGGAGGGGTTCAAAACCTGTGTAGACAAGGCCCTTAATGACACGAGTTAGGGGTGAATTTGCAAGCGCTGGGGAACAGTTGGACTTGATGATCTTAAGCTCTTTTCCAACCCAGTTGTTTCAATGTCTCCCTGCAGGCAACCGTGCCCGTGCCTCCCTGCCTGGGACTGAAGCTGCTCTTGGAAGGCTACTCACTAATGAAGCCCCAGCTGCAAGAACAACAACCCCAGAACAAACTCCCTGCCATCCTGACTCTTGTCTTCCCGGTGGCGCCCAAGTCACTTTTGGTGGCCAAACCACTTATGAAGACCAAATCACCTGTGGTGCCCAAGTAACCCGTGGACAAATCACTTATGGTCACTAAGCGTCCTAGAGTCACCAAGCAAACCACAGATTGCAAGTCTCCTGCGGTGCACAGGCCTCCAGTGGTCTCCAAAACACGGATACCAAGTTACCTGCGGTGCCCAAGCCTCAAGTGGTCTCCAACCCACTTACAGACACCAAGCCTCCCATCGTGCTCAAGACCACTGCAGTGCCAGGCCTCCGGTGCTGGAGAAACCACATTCGGAACCCAAGCCTACTGTGGTGCCGAGGCTACCTGTTGTGCATAAACCACTTACGGCTACCAAGCATCCTAGAGTCACCATGCCCCCTATAGAGCCCAAGCCTCCTGCATTGCCCATCTCCCCAGTGGTCTCTAAACCACGCAGATACCAAGGCACCTGCAGTGCCCAGGCCTCAATTGTTCTACAACCCACTTACAGACAGAAGCCGCCCATGGTGCTCAAGACTACTGCAGTGACCAGACCTCCAACGGTGGCCACATGGTCACCAAGCCTACTGTGCTGCCGAGGCCTCCAGTTATACGTAAACCACTTAGGGTCACCAAGTGTCCTAGAGTCACCATGCCTCCTACGGAGCCCAAACATCCCGCAGTGTCCAGCCCACAAGTGCTCTCCAGCCCACTCAAGGACACCATGCCTACCATGGCTGTCAAGACTACTATAGTGCCCAGGCCTCCAGTGGTGGCCAAACCACTTACGAACACTAAGCCTACTGTGGTGCCCAGGCCTTCAGTGGTGTGTAAACAACTTATTGTCACCAAACGTCCTAGAGTCACCATGCCTCCTACAGAGCACAAGCATCCTGCAGTGTCCAGGCCTCCAGTGGTCTCTAAAACACAGACACCAAGTTGCCTGCTGTGCCTAAGCCGCAAGTGGGCATACCACTTATGGGCACCAAGTTACCTGCGGTGCCCAGCCCACAAGTGCTCTCCAGCCCACTTACAAACACCAAGCCTCCCATGGTGCTCAAGACGACTGCAGTGCCCAAAACCTCCAATGGTGGCCAAACCACTTACGGTGACCAAGCCTTCTGCATTGCCGAGGCCTCCAGTGGTGAGTAAACCACTTACGGTCACAAAGAGTCCTAGAGTCGCCATGACCTTCTATGGAACCCAAGCCTCCTGCAGTGGCCAGGCCTCCACTAATCTCCAAATCACAGACACAAAGCCTACTGTAGTGCCGAAGCCTCAAATACACGTAAACCACTTATGGTCAACAAGTGTCCTGCAGTCACCAAGAACCAGACAGAGGCCTAGCGTCCTGCGGGGCCCAGGCCACAAGTGCTCTCCAGCCCACTTACAGACACCAAGCCTCCCATGGTGCTCAGGACTACCGTGGTAAACAGGCCTCCAGTGTTGGCCAGACCACTTACGAACACCGAGCCTGCTGTGATGCTGAGGCCTTCAGTGGTGCCTAAAGAACTTATGGTCACCAAAAGTCCTAGAGTCACCATGCCTCCTACAGAGCCCAAGCCTCCTGCAGTGCCCAGGCCTCCAGTGGTCTCTAAACCAATTACAGACACCAAGGTACCTGCGGTGCACAGGCCTCAAGTAGTCTCCAGCCCACTTATAGACACCAAGCGTCCCATGGTGCTCAAGACTACTGCAGTGCCCAGACCTTCAGTGGTGGCCAAAGCACTTACGATCACCAAGCCTACTGTGGTGCAGATGGCCTCCAGTGGTGCGTAAACCACTTATGGTCACCAAGAGTCCTAGAGTCACCATGCCCCCTGTAGAACCCAAGCCTCTTGCGTTGCCCAGGCCTCCAGTGGTCTCAAAAGCAGTTACGGACACCAAGTTACCTGCGGTGCCCAAGCCACAAGTGCTCTCCACACCACTTAGGGGCACCAAGTTACCTGCGGTGCCCAAGCCACAAGTGCTCTCCAGACCACTTACAGACAACAAGCCCATGCTGCTGAAGACTAGTGTGTTGCCCAGGCCTGCAGTGGTGGCCACACCACAGGGACACCGAGCCTACTGTGGTGCCGAGGCCTCCAGCAGTGCGTAAACCACTTAAGGTCATTGAGAGTCCTAGAGTTACCATGCCTCCTATAGAGCACAAGCCTCCTGCAGTGCCCAGGCCTCCAATGGTCTCTAAACTACTTCCAGGAACGAAGGTACCTGTAGTGCCCAGACCTCAAGTGACCTTAAACCCACTTATAGACACCAAGCCTCCCACGGTGCTCAAGACTATTGAAGTGACCAGACCTCCAGTGACAGCCAAATCACTTATGGTCACCAAACCTACTGCGGTGCCGAGGACTCCAGTTATACGTAAACCACTTACGGCAACAAGTGTCCTTCAATCACCAGACACCCTATAGAGTCCAAGCGTCCTGCGGTAAACAGGCCTCCAGTGGTGGCCAGACCACTTACGGACACCAAGCCTACTGTGGTGCTGAGGCCTTCAGTGGTGCCTAAGAAGTTACGGTCACCAAACCTCCTAGAGTCACCATGCCCCCAATAGAGCCCAAGCCTCTTGCAGTGCCCAGGCCTCCAGTGGTCTCTAAACCACTTACAGACACCAAGGTCCCTGCAGTACACAGGCTTCAAGTAGTCTCCAACCCACTTACAGACACCAAACCTCCCTTGTTGCTCAAGACTACTGCAGTGCCCAGTACCTCCAATGGTGGCCAAAGCACTTATGATATTATGATCACCAAGCCTACTGTGGTGCAGATGGCCTCCAGTGGTGCGTAAACCACTTATGGTCACCAAGAGTCCTAGAACCACCATGCCCCCTGTAGAACCCAAGCCTCCTGCATTGCCCAGGCCTCCAGTGGTCTCAAAAGCAATTACGGACAACAAGTTCCCTGCGGTGCCCAAGCCACAAGTGCTCTCCAGACCATTTACGGACACCAAGCCTCCCATGGTCCTCAAGACTACTGATTTGCCCAGACCTCCAGTGGTGGCCAAACCACTTACGGACACTGAGCCTACTGTGGTGCCGAGGCCTCCAGCTGTGCCTAAACCACTTACGGTTACCAAGCGTCCTAGAGTCACCATGCCCCCTATAGAGCCCAAGCCTCCTGCAGTGCCCAGGCCTCCTGTGGTCCCCAAATCACGTAGGGACACAAAGCTTAATGTGGTACCGAGGCCTCCAGTGGTACGTGAAAAACTTATGGTCACCAAGAGTCCTAGAGTAACCATGCCACCAACAGAACCCAAGCCACCAGAAGTGCCCTGGCCTCCAGTGGTCTCTAAACCACTTACAGACACCAAGCTACCTGAAGGGTCTAGGCCTCAAGTTGTCTCTGTCCCACCCGTAGTCCTCCATGGTGGGAGACCACATGCCCACATTCATCTGGATGAGGCGGGGAAGTGCTGTGCACTACTGGCAGCTACTGAACCACCAAATGGTAAACCACCGGCACTGGAGCCTTCACCACCAAGGTGAGAGCCTGGAGACACCGAGGATGCAGTCCTGGGGATGAACAGGGGTGGCAGCGGGTCCAGCACTGACTGCCACCCTTGTCCATCTACAGAGGAGGGGCTGTGTGTCAACCTCCAAACCCTGCCCTCATTCTACCAGGCGGATCCCACCACCTTCTTCCCAGGGTGCTACCGGCTCGGGGACGAACACCAAGCCTTCATCGGTGAGCTAGAGCTGTTGCCCTTCTGCCCCCCTGCCAAATCCCATGTACCCTGTGTCCTGGGCAGGAGAGGGTGAGGACAACAGAAAACCTTTGTAGAGGATTTCCGCCTGACAGCAGCTCACAGCCTGCTCAAACTGGCTGTGGAGAAGCCTGGCATCATGCAAGGGGGGATGGAGTCACCTGGCAAGGGGGCAGCTGAGTGTGTGGAGATGGGCCTGGTGGGGATGGTGAGGAGCTCAGGGCCATGGCTGTGGGCTGAGCCTCTGCCTGGCGCTGTGGCTTGGGACCCTGATGCACCCAAAGCCAAGAATCCCAAGGGTAGCCAGCAGCCATGCCCCTCAGTCTATGCCACTTCCAGCAGGTCCAGCATCCCCATCACCCCGATATGCTGGAGAAAGCACTGCAGGTCTGCAGATTGCAGCTGGACAGGCTGGAGCACACAGACATTGACAGGGACTCCCCAGTGCTCCGTGTCACCGACGGACTGCTTCCTGCATGAGTACTACCGTGTGGTGAAGTGCGTGTGGGGCGGAATGGGGTTGGGGGGCCACGCAGCATGGCAGTGCTGGTGCTGAGCCCCCCGTGTCACCACCCTGCAGCGAGCAGGCGAGGCTGGAGCCAAGCATTCCTCAGCTGAAACAGTGCAGGGCACTGCTGCAGAAGCTGCAAGTGCGGCTGCCCCAGCTCCACACGGAGGGCCTTCACAATCTGTGGATAATCAAGCCCGGAGCTATGTCCCCTGGTAGAGGTGAAGGCAAGGGGAAAATGGGGTTTGGGCACAGGCTTCCTGGTGAGGAGGGGTCTCACCGGCACCATGTGTCCCCGCTCACAGGCATCACCTGCTCGGCACGGCTGGAGGAGATCCTGGAGCTGCCTGGGAAACTACCCTGTGACTTGATATGGTCCAGCCACCAGTTGCAGCTTCACCTGCATCAAGTGGGGCACACGGAGGCCTGGGGGAAGGTGACTGCCAGGCATGAAGGAGGCGGTGGTGGCTGCGCTGCACAGGGGCTGGGAGCTGGTGAGGGACCGCAAGAGCAGCTTCGAGCTCTACGGGGCCGATTTCATGTTCGGGGAGGATTGCCAGCCGTGGCTGCCAGAGATCAACGTCAGTCCCACCATAGCGCCCTGCTCAGCAGTGACCCGACAGCTCTGCGCTGCCGTCCAGCGTGACATACTGCGTGTGGTCCTGGACCACAGGGGGAACCCCGGCTGCTCCACTGGAGCCTTTGAACTCATCTACAAAGAGGTGGGTTTGGAGGGGCTGTGGGATAGGCTGCTCTCTGCTCCCAAGGAACAAGAGAAAAAAAAAAGCCTCAAGCTACAGCAGGGGAGGTTTAGACTGGGGATTAGGAACAATTACCTCCCCCAAAGGGGCGGTCAAGAATTGGAACAAGCTGCCCAGGGAAGAAGGAGGTCACTGTCCATGGAGGGGTTCAAAACCTGTGTAGAAAAGGCCCTTAACAGCGTGAGTTAGAAGTGGCCTTGGCAGTGGTGGGGAACAGTTGGACTTGATGATCTTAAGCTGTTTTCCAACCCAGTTGTTTCAATATCTCCCTGCAGCCCATCGTGCCAGTGCCTCCCTGCCTGGGACTGAAGCTGGTGGTGGAAGTGTACTCGCTAATGAAGCCCCAGCTGCAAAAACAGCAACCCAGGACAAACTCCCCACCACCCTGCCTCTTGTCTACCCGGTGGTGCCCAAGTCACTAGTGGTGGCCTAAACCACTTATGAACACCAAATCATCTGTGGTGCCCATGTCACTCGTGGTACCAAAGCCGCCTGTGGTGGCCAAACCACTTACAGCCATCAGCCCATGGTCACTAAGCAATCTATAGAGACCAGGCCTCCAGTGGTACCTAAGCCATTTATGGTCACCACACGTCCTACAGTCACCAAGCCCTCGATAGAGTCCAAGCTTCCCAGGGAGCCTAAACCACTTATGGTCATCACGTGTTCTATGGTCACCAATCCCCCTACAGACTCCAGGCCTCCTGTGATGCCCAAGTGGGGCAGAACCACTCAGCTCCCACGGGCTGGAGAAGCACAGGTCAAGGCGGCTGCTCTGACGCAACTGCACTTGCGCTTCTCCAGCTCTGCCCCCCAGGCACCACCACAGCCAAAACCCCTGCTCCAGTGGGTTCAGGCCACTATGAGCAAGCCTGGGGCTACTGTCCTGACCAGGGCACCCACTCAACCAGATGCAGTCCCACCAACAGCTCTGACTGCGTGTCCTGGGCAGCAGAGCTGTGTTGCTGGCAGCAGACATGAAGCAGCGCCCAGGAGCAGGCAGAAAAGCTGCAACAATAAGGCCATGAAGAAGGGAACAGCATCCTGCCCCCACCCTAAGTGGGACAACATGACGGTAACCACTTCCCCCTACCTGAACCAGAATCCACCATCGCACAGGGACACACATCCCACCAGCCAAGGGGGTGAATGGAATCAGTTTGCAGAGGTGAAAGCCATCCAGCTCGCCTGGCACATTGCTGAACACGGAAAGCGGGCAGTACTTTATACTGACTCAGGGATGGTGTTCAAATGCCCTTCGGGGGTGGTGGCAGCAATAGAAGACAAGGAAATCAGCAAGATGAATCTGTCTGCCAACACCAGGGCCCACATCTTGGGGGAAGAATTCCTTAAGAACCTGAGGGTCAGGAACAGGAGGAGGCCGATCCCTCATGTCCTCGAGAGAGGACGCCTTCAGCACCGTCGCGGGGGGAAGCTCAGCGTCCAGGAGCCTCAGTTCAGAGCGGCGGGAGCCCCCTGAGGAAGCCTCAAGCCCTCGATAGGATTTGCCTACGAGCCTGCAGCTCAGCTCACGCGAGCAGAAACTCACAGTGGCAGCGCCAGCACGGGCGGCACCAGCCCTGAGGGGTTAAAAACCCGCCTCAGGGAGCGCGGCAAACAGGGCGTGGCGAGCCAGTTTGCGCGGGCAGGCGAGGGGGATGGTGAGCGCTCGCCGTACGAGCTGGGCGCGGTCTGGGAGCTGTGCTCTGGGTGTCCCGGCGGTGGTCAGCGTAGGCACCCAGACAGAGCAGATGAGAGGGGAGAGTGCAGAGCAGAGCTCGGAGTGCAGAGAGTGCCTGCACCGGTCTGGTGAGGGGAGGGTGCACTACGGGCGGGGCTGCACCCGGTGCTCCCTGAGCTGCGGGGAGCTGCCAAGAGGCTGAAAGATGTCAGGGAAGCTGGGAGGAAGCAGGACTGCTTGCTCCAGGCCCAAACTGTGCAGGGGCCGCAAGCGTCCACTGTGGCTCATGGAGGAAAAAAGGAGGCCGTTAACGCAGGAAGCTGGGAAACAGCAACAAAACACAAAAAGGAGAAGTAAAAGGAAGGGGCTTCCTCCCAAATCTGATGTCCCCGCCCAGACCCGCTTTGCTGTCCTGAAGGGGGCTAATGAGGAAACACACTTGCACCAGGAACAAGCTGGCTGGTGCACTAGTAAAGAATGTCTCTACTGGTGCTCCCAGGAAAAAGCGGCAGGGTCGTAGTAGGAGGAGACTGCTTTGAAAGGGACAGAGGCACACACAGCCTGACCCAGTCTCAAGGGAGGTGTGTTGCCTACCAAGGACACGGATCAGGGATGTTGCAGAGAGGCTGCCTGCTCTAGTAAGTCCCACTGACCATTAGCCACTTCTAGTGATCCATGTGGGTGCTAGTGATACAGATAGCAGCAGCCCAGAGAACGTTAAGAAGGACTACAGAGCCCTGGGAGAGGTGGTTAGGGGCTCTAGAGCTCAGAAAGTCTTTTCATCAATTCCCCAGGATAAAGGGGAGGACCTTAAAAAGGCTAAGCAGATTTGCCAGGTTAAGAAATGGTTAGAAGGGTGGTGCCATAGTCAGGGGGTTGGGTATCTAGATCATGAGATTTGATTTTGAGGGTGTGGAACTCTGTCTCGGCACAGTTGATCAGTCAACAAAGAGTTTGTGGGTCAGGGTTAAAGGGAGAACAGTAATGGGAGACATTACTGTGGGGATCGGTTACAGATTGCCCGATCAAGAGGACTCTCTGGATAAAGCGCTCTGTAGGGAAATAGGAACAGCCTCATGCTCTCAGGCCCTTGTCCTCATGGGGGACTTCAACCACCCTGATATCTGTTGGAGGGACAGTATGGCCCGGCACAAGCAATCCAGGAGGTTCCTCGATTGTGCGGAAGACAACCTCCTCCCGCAAGTAATAGAGGAGCCAACAAGGAGAGGTGCCATGCTTGACCTCGTGCTCACAAACAGGGAAGGGCCGGTTGGAAATGTGACGCTCTAGGACAGCCCTGATTGCAGCGATCATGAGATGGTCGAGTTCGAGATCCTCAGGACAGTGAGAAGAGCATGCAGCAAGCTCACTGCCCTGGACTTCTAGAGAGCAGACTTTGGCCTCTTCAGGAACCTGCTTAATAAGGTTCCATGGGATATAGCCCTAGAAGGAAGTGCAGCAGGAGGGCCAGGAGAGCTCCTTGGTTGGGTAAGGAGCTGCTGAGGAAACATCAAGGGAAAAAAGAGGCCTATCAAAGGTGGAAGCAAGGACAGGCAGCATGGGAAGAATACAGGGATGTTGTTTAGGAAGCTAAGGCCCAGTTAAACTTGGCTAGGGATGTGAAAGATAACAGGAATGGATTCAGTAGGTACACTCCAAACAAAAGAAAGACTACGGACAACATGGGCCTTCTCCAGAAGCCATGGGACTGGGGACACAGGGCCAGCAGCTCAGCCTGGCTTGTCCTTAACAGCTCCTGCCAGCACCAAGCAGCAGCCCTCTGTCAACAAGGAGCTGCTGAAGAGGGCCAGACAGCATGTGAAGGAGGCCATCAAGGTGGGACCCGATTACACGCACACACCCCACAACATGCCATGAACATGCGCCTGTTGCATTTATGGCTGAGCGCTTGTGTCCTTCCCCAGGAGAAAAAGATCTTCGCAGTGCAGGGCCCCTACCCTGTGATGCGCAAGCTGCTGCGGGCACGAGGCTGGGTGGAGGGGAAGTTCTCCACCACCATCAAGGTGGGCACTCGCTCAGTGCAGCAGGACACCAAAAAGCAGCTGGAGGAGAAGCAGGAGGATGGCAGTGGTGAGGAGCAGTGGGAGGCAGCGCTCCATCCAGAGCCAAGGTCGGCATCCTGTTGGACTCAGTGCTGGGTCAAGATCTTGGAGGAGGAGGAGGAGGAGGAGAAAGAGCAGGAGGAGGTCCCGTGGTATGCTGAGGACCCTGATGGCATCCAGGACATCATGGTTAGTGGAGAGGGGCAGGGCTGGACTCCGCAGGGCACAGCCTGGGCTGGGTGGTGAGGCTGGGATGAGGACTCCTCAGCTGACTCTGGTCCCCTCTGTCGCTCCCGTGATCCTCCATGGTGCGAGACCGCATGCCCACATTCATCTGGATGAGCCGGGGAAGTGCCGTAAGCTACTGGCAGCTCCAGGACCACCAAATGGTACACCACTTCAAGGGCACTGGAGCCTTCACCACCAAGGTGAGAGCCTGGAAATTTCGAGGATGCAGTGCAGGGGATGAACGGGGTGGCGGCGGTTCCAGCACTGACTGGCCCATCTACACAGGAGGGGCTGTGTGTGCATATATATATATATATATATATATATACACATGAGACAAAAGCAACAATACATTGAAAAATGTGCGATCTGAGCATGATGTAAATGGCATGGAATAAGGAGTGGGTATTGTGCTGTGTTCATCTGTAACAAGCACAAGCTGGTGGACTTTGTCGTCCGCTTCATGGAGGAGATCCACAAGAAAATCAGCAAGATGAAGCTGTCTGTCAACACCAGGGCCTGCATTGTGGAGGAGGAATGCCTTGAGAACCTGAGGATCTAGAATGGGAAAAGGCAGATCCCTCATGTTGGGATTTTGGGAGCGGGGTGCGGGCCTCACCAGAGTGCCTTTTGTGCCCAGAGCCCCCAGTCTCATCTGTGGGAACAGCGGTGCCATTGTGCCCAAGACCCTCTCAGGGACAGGGCAGGAGGATGCCCCAGGTTGCTTGCACCCCCTGTGCTGGGGAAGGGCTGGGTTTGAGATGCCAAGAGCACGGTGAGGGGCCTGGCAACAGCCACTGGGGACGCAGCCCCATGGCCCCGGGGCACACAGGGGCTCACAGCTGCCTCTCTTCTCTTGGCTTGCAGTGCCCGGGGCCCATAGAGCTCCTGGTACCTAAGGCGGGGGCATGTAACGCGCCGGGCCGTTGGATGCCTCACCTGGCTGCTCCAGGCGACCTATGACACAGGAGGGCTGGTGTTTGTCCACCTTCAGGTCAGTGAAGCCAGTGCAGAGGCCAGGGCTGGTGCAGGGGCTGGGGAGTTCCATGTGCTGGGCCCCACCTCGGTCCCCACAGGGAGAGGGGAAGCGCTTGGGCCTGGGCTGGACTCCGCAGGGCACAGCCTGGGCTGGGTGGTGAGGCTGGGATGAGGACTCCTCAGCTGACTCTGGTCCCCTCTGTCGCTCCCGTGATCCTCCATGGTGCGAGACCGCATGCCCACATTCATCTGGATGAGCCGGGGAAGTGCCATAAGCTACTGGCAGCTCCAGGACCACCAAATGGTACACCACTTCAACGGCACTGGAGCCTTCACCACCAAGGTGAGAGTCTGGAGACGCCGAGGATGCAGTGCTGGGGATGAACAGGGGTGGCGGCAGGTCCAGCACTGACTGCCACCCTTGTCCATCAATACAGGAGGAGCTGTGTGTCAACCTCCAAAACCTGCCCTC